TATAAATGATTCTAGTTTCATTCCCATCCGTAACGGGAAGGTGGCTTGCGTTCTCGTGGAGGATTCCGCCTCGGTACTGAAGCCGTTGGTGCTGTAGCAACAGTTGGCTTGGGTTCTGTAGCTTTCGGAGTAGATGCAGCAACGTGTGGGTTAACTTGAGGTGTCTGTGACGTACTCTCAGCAGAACGGCGATTTGTTTCTGGTGGACCGTTAGTCGATTCTTCTGTCCTTGATGGTGTTTCCGGTAGACGTTGCGGTGCTGTCCCTGTAGGTGTTACGCCAGGATGTCTTTCAAGAACTGGAACAACAGTAGGTGGCGTAGGAATGCTACCTTCAGACTTGCACTGCATGGATCGGGGCCGAAGTTGATCTTCATGCCTCTTCCATACTGGTTGTCCATCTACGTGTACATAGTACGATCGTTGCAATACTTCAATAACGATCCCTGGCAACCAACGAGGAACAGCACGGAGATTAAGTACATACACTTTATCTCCCACTGCAAACTTGGGTAGGCAACTTGTGTTCTGCTCAAATGTTTCGGCATCCTTCTGGCTATCAAGCGAAGGCCTCAGGCTTGAGAACCTTGTCCTTAACTGTCTACGCATCAGCAAATATGCAGGGCTCTCTGTCGTTGTAGCGTGTGGCGTACATCTGTAAGTAAGGAGGATACGCGATACCTTATCCTGTAAGGTACCCTCACCCTTCTCCATCTTCTTCAACTGTGATTTAAAATACCTGACATAGCGTTCAGCCATACCGTTTGATGCCGGATGGCCTGGAGGTGTCAGAGGGTGTGTCGGATGTTGTTTTTCATCAGGAATTCTTTAAATTCGCTACTGGAAAACTGCAGGCCATTATCTGAAACGATATGTTCTGGGAGGCCTAAATTAGCAAACACTTTCCTGAGCTGTTGTATGGTTGCAGTCGTTGTAGTGGAATTCATGGGTATCACTTCTAACCACTTAGAGTACGAGTCAATGACAACAAGAAACATGCTACCCATATAAGGACCAGCATAATCAATATATAGTCTCTTCCGAGGGCCAGATGGCCAGTTCCTCTTAGCTACGGGTGGACTAGGAGGGGCAGAAGCAGTTTCCTGGCAGCTTGCGCAATTCTTAGCCATCTGCTCGATCTCGTCATTCATCTTAGGCCACCAGAAATACTGTCTGGCTAGCCCCTTCATTCTAACAGTTCCTGTGTGTTCACTATGAAAGTCCAAGAAGAGTGTGGGTCTGAGTGTGGAGGGTACAACGACTCTGCTTCCCCACAACACACATCCTTGTTCGACAGTTAATTCAGTTTTGCGTGAGAAGTATGGTTGCAATTTATCATCATCACACTTACTTGGCCAGCCTTCTCTCGTTAATTGCAGTACCTTTGCCAAGCAGGGATCCTTTTGCGTTTCTGACGCCGCTGTCTTAGCTGTAAGGGGAAGTTGACTCAGCAACTCTTCATCGATCAGCAGTACATCTTCCTGCTCTGGCAAGTCGGACAAATCAGGTGGTTCCTGTAATGGAGCTCGAGACAAATAGTCAGCACACGCATTTTCTTTTGAAGAAATGTACTTTACCTTGTAACTGTACGCAGATACGATCAGTGCCCAACGTTTAATTCTCGCAGCAGCAAGTTGGGGTATTGCGGTATGTTCCCCAAAAAGCTTAACGAGAGGTTGGTGATCAGTTTCTAACGTGAAGGTGCGTCCCAGCAAATACTGTCGGAATTTCTGTACACCGTTAATGATTCCAAGAGCTTCACGCTCAATCTGTGCATAGTTTTTCTCAGCACTTGTGAGACTACGGGAAGCAAAATGAACTGGTTTCAACTCACCATTCGGGCCAGGCTGCTGTAATACTGCACCAATGCCGTACGAAGAGGCATCACCAGAAAGTACTAGCTCAGCATCAGGGTCATAGTGAGCCAGCATAACATCTTCAGTCATCATCTTCTTAATCTTTTGGAACGATGACTGTTGTTCGCTCTTCCACGACCATGCCTCGTCATTCCTCAGTAACTTGTATAAATGCACCATGTGGTGTGCAAGATTTGGGAGGAATCTGGCATAGTAGTTTACCAACCCAATGAAGGTACGCAATTCGTTTACGTTGGTTGGCGCAGGTGCTTCTTTGATCGCTCTCACCTTAGACTCCGTCGGGTTGACACCATCTTCAGTGACCTTGAAACCCAAGTACTCGACTTCAGGGATCATGAACTGACACTTTGTCATCTGTAGACGCAGGCCATTTTCTTGTAAACGTCATGACTCCTCGTAGGTTAGATAAATGCTCTGTATCATGACGGCCTGTGACAAGAATATCATCTATGTATGCGCTGACATTTGGAAGTCCCTTAAGGAGATTCTCCATCGTGCGCTGGAACAGACCAACTGCACATGAAACTCCATAAGGCAGTCTCTTGTACTTGAATAAACCAACCGATGAGTGTTTATGGTGGTTAGTTCCTGAGATGCTTTATCAAGGGGTATTTGGTGGAAAGCTTGTGATAAGTCAAGCTTTGTGAACTTCTCACCATGAGACAAACTTGCAAAGATTTCATCAACTAATGGTAGGGGGTATTTATCTTGTCTAGCTACATTGTTTACAGTTACCTTATAGTCCCCACAAAGGCGAGCATCTCCATTTGCTTTCACCACAGGTACTACAGGGGTAGCCCAGCAGTCAGAGTGAACTACTTTCTCTATGACTCCTTGACTCTCTAAATTCTGTAGGGCATCTTCAACATTCTTTTTCATAGCGAATGGGAGGGGTCTGGCTTTGCAGAACTGGGGTGTGGCACCCTCCTTAATCTCTATGCGGGCCTCAACTCCCTTGAGACAACCCAATTCAGAATTAAATAACTCATCGTACTCTGCTAACAGACTGTCAAGCTCTGGTGGCTGATTTACAATGTCTACATTGAAAGTCTTCTTCCAAGGTACTCTTATTTCTTGTAACCAGTCACGGCCAAACAATGGGGGCCCGTTCCCTTCGACTACCTTGAGGGATAATCTTGCGGATTGGTCTCCAACTACTACATTGACTAGCTTTTCTCCCACGACTGTAAGTTTGTTGCCTGTATAAGAGCGCAGCTTAACAGAGGCTGGATCCAATGGTGTGTTTCCAAAATGTCTAACAAAGTCAGTCTGGTTGATAAGCGAAACCCCTGCCCCAGTATCTAGCTGGAATTTCATTTGCACATCATCAACAATTACATCAACATGTAATGGAGGGGTAACCGAGTCGGACTGTATGTTGAGCAGATCGCTACTATCTTCATCTAGGTTGAGCTCGGCTTCAACAGCATTAGTTTGCTCACGTCTCTCCTTTTTGGGCTGTTGAGATTTTAATTTTGACAAACAAACTTTCTCTATGTGGCCTACGTTGCTGCAGTAATGGCATTTGGCATTGATAAATCTACATTTGGGTGCGGTGTGTGATTTATCGCCACATTTAAAACAGTGTTTATTGTCTTGTTTGTAGCCTCCGGAGGGCCTTGGATGTGCACTGTGAGTATAGCTAGCTTTATTTGGAGCAGTCTTGAGTAGTATAGGGGTTGGGGGTCCCAACTCACACACCACCCCGAAATAACCCGTCTTAAAAGCATACGCCCCGGTTTCATTCGGGTTTTGAGAGCAACGTGGCCCGGGGTTATTCCACCAAGAGATTACGGGATCTTCCCACCATCCACGACCCATTTGAGGTCGTGAATACGGCCACCAACGAATACCATTAAATATGCTAACATATATTATGAAGTGTGAAATTCAAAGGAAGGCTGGCGGGGGTTACCCGTGCCCCGTATTACTAAAAAGTCAAAATATTTGTCTTATATACGATGCATGAATGTAAAGA